AGAGAGGATACTTCCCAGAATGGTCAAATGATAGTAAATGACACTTGATGCACTGGGTCTATTCTTCTGCTAGAGAAAATGTAAATGGAACCGGATGGGATTTTTTCTTCTGTCAACCTTGTGCTGTCTGAGTAGGAGCTTGGACACCTATTGACATTTTCACTCAGGTTTTGAATTACACCAATTGCCTGTTTCGTCAATATGCTTGGTTTGTTGGGGGTGTTGTATTTTATTTTCAAATTGCAACAATATGACCACTTGCTGATGTTTGTCTTTGTGGATGGAAAGTAACTTTCATGACCACAGAGAAAGTTCAATGAGGTGCTGGTTAGTTTGGGTGTAAAGGAGCAAGGGGCTTAGATGGGGAAGAGGTTAAAAAGTCTTGGTTGGATGTAGAGGTCTGGAGGCATCAGAGAGCTCCAGGAGGTAGCTTGCTCCTTGGTGAACCATGTTCTGTGCAAGGCTGGGGAGCTCCTGATGGGATCCCACTGGTTGCCCTTCTGCCAAGGAGTCACCTGACACTCATTTTTTTCTTCTGCTCCAGACCCAAACAATCATCAAATTTCTGAGAAAGATCACTGAGAAGCCTCCCATGGGCTTTGCCTTTCAAGGCTGATAGACACAAGACTGCAGCCCCAGCTGGCCAGGGAGTGCAGCAGGAGAGCTGCCTCCAGCGGCTTAGTGGGGGCTCCTCCTTGTTCCTTTGAGGTCCGTAGCTGGGTCTGAGAGTTTTGCACCTGCTGAGCATTGGCTTTGTGCATACATGTCCTTTCAGAGGAAAGGCACGCCTGTGAATAATTACCTCGCTAGTTATGAGTTGTCCAGGCTGGCAAGGCAACGTGCTTGCTCTTGAAGGCAAGACCTAGCGGGCAGCATCAGCTGAGTGCAGTACAGGGAAGGCATGCTGGGGAGCAAAAGAAGGCTGATGGTTGAAATTGCAGCTGAAAGCAGTCAGGGAAGTACATCCAACTCCTGAGCATTATTTTGAAGGTAACAGGGCAAAGGGTAACTTTGAAATTGAATGTTGAGATCTGTTTAGACTGGAGAAGAGAAGACAGAGGGCATCTCATCAATGCTTATAAATATCTAAAGGGCGAGTGTCAAGAGGATGGGGCCAGACTCTTTTCAGTGGTGCCCAGCGACAGGACAAGGGGCAATGGGCACAAATTGGAACACAGGAAATTCCACAGGAAATTTGCCATGAGGAAAAGTTTCTTTGCTTTGAGGATGACCGAGCACTGGAACAGGCTGCCCAGAGAGGTTGTGGAGTCTGCTTCTCTGGAGACATTCAAAACCCACCTGGATGCATTTCTGTCCAACCTGCACTAGGTGAACGTCCTCTGGCAGGGGGGTTGGACTAGATGATGTCCAGAGGTCCCTTCCAACCCTTACCCTTCTCTGATTCTGTGATTTTGCTTTTCATTGAGGTTCTGGTGTTTGTCTAGTGTCGGTCACAGTTTTGCAGCACTGGGGAGGTATGACTAGAGGCACCGCATCTGAGCGTGGCTCCCTGAGAGATCAGTGTTCCTACTGAGGCACTCAGATCCTGTGAGAAGCAGTCTCTGTAATAGACTTCTAAGTCTGCAGGAAGCCCCGTTGGCTTTTATGAGATGCAGGTAGAGCAGCAAGCCTGGTTGCTACCAGTGACAGAAGCAGGCCTTTATGTGGTTAATAATATGTTATGCGCAGCTTTAGTAATCAGCTGAGAGAAATTTTGGCTTCTTTAGACAAATCAAAGTGATCATTAGCTTACACTAAGCTGACACCAGAAATGAGTCAGAAGGGATCCTGATCTGAAAACTTCCCTGTAGGACATGTGCATATGTCCTCAAGCTTTTCTCTTCCTTCCCTAGGAGGGCTTGCCCCCATCCAGTTCATAACACTTTGACTTTCTGCCCGATGTTGGTAACTTTTGAAAACGTGCCAAGAGACAGAATTATCTGATTCACTGGAACCTCTGCACATTCTCTAAAAAAAACCCTCCAAAAGTTGTATTTCTCAATAAGAAGTACTTTTGTGAAATTTTTTAGCACAATGATCATCATAAAAACATGGGGAAAGAGGCAGTTTAACCACTTAGCTGATGTATAATTGTGATTTGTCATACTGTCTGGAGTCTTTTTTTGAAGTGGATGAATGGAGCAATACTGAATAAATAAAAATTTGAAGGTGGGGTTTTCCAAAGTGCATTGATCTTGTTATGTTCCCGCTTCATAGGATTTAACTGAGATGCGAGACCAATATTTGCCTCCCCGTGTTTTCCTTAGGACTGCTGTATGTACTAAAAAAGGCTGGCAGAAGGCCGAAAAAAATATGAAGCAGTTTTGCAGTGGAAATAATTTTGCTGCAATGACTTCTAGCAAGAAGGAGAGGCACTGAAATAGGAAGCAAAATGAATCAAATAAATGGCTGGTTTCTCCCAGAAGCTCCAGAATGTTAATGTAACATCATCAGGAAGTGTACTGAACAAAACTTACATTTAAAGGCCCTTCTTTGTTTCCAGAGTAAGCACTGCGGTGTGAGGAGAAGGGTGGTGCAAACTATATGCTCTTCTCCGTAGTTGACCTGTAAAAGATCAGAGTGAAAAATGAACCTTGCAGGCAATATGAAAATAATTTAAGGGAAAGCAGAACTTCACCTTTACTCTTGGCACAGGTATCAAGTCTCTAGTTTGATAACTGCTAGAGCAAGGTCCGTGATTCTTCCTCCGTAAATCTCTCTCTCATCTTCCTGAGAAATCACATTCTGCAGTTCACCATCTCTGTTTCCACTTGGAGGGAGGAACTTCAGTCATCTCACTGCCAGAGAGCCTTTCTCTTCGTGATGTCCTGGGCGTCAGTGTCTGTGAGCAGATGTCAGACTGTCTCCCTGGGGTGGGCAGACTTGCCGCTCCTGTCCTTTCAGAAGAGGATATTTTCCAAAACTGGTTTACTGCATATGTCTCTATGTGTCTGTGTCTTCCCTCTGGACTCTCTCAACAGCGATTTGAAAGCAGTTAAACAAAGTTCTCTAGCTGAGACCGAACAGGTCTGTTGCTGAACAGAATTCCTCTGCCACGGCATCGCTTTGAGAGAGACAGAGAGAGAAGCAAGTTCAGGGCAGATACAGACAGCAGCAACCTGGCAAATTGACAAAATCCATAGTCCTTAAGCTAAAAATATCCATCTTGTTTTGCATCTTTTGTACCTTCTTGTAGTCTTTCATAGGGGATTTTTTTTTTTCTCACTATCTAATTTCTGGAATTTTAGCGGTTTAATGTTTGCTGAGGTATAATGTTTGCTGAGGTATCTTTGTGAGACCGGTACCCCCAGCAGAAAGAAATTCGTGTTTGGTTGTTAAGCTTGTTATGGCAGAGAAACGGGTCAAGGTGCTGGCTGACCGTGGCTGGAGAAGGTGGTTGCTCTCTGGAGCTGTGCAAGTAAATCTGCACGATCTTGAAGAGAGAGGGCATTTTTTAATAAGTCACTAGACATTAAATCCTCCTGTAGCAACCCACTACCCCCTTCCTTCCAGTTAGAAAACTTCTTCAATTTCTGATGTAAATTTATTCATGGCCATTTGTGTTAGTGTTTTGTTTTGATTTATATAGCTCTTTCCAGCCCTGATGTTACCCCCTTTTATATCCCTAGAGGCTAATCATATCTCATCTCAGACTTTGTTTTGCTGGGTTAATAATCTGAGCTCTTTGACTCTTTTTATTTTCTTTCCCAACTGTTATTTTAGACCATCCCAGCATCTTTTCCGATTTTCATGAAAATGGGTACCAAGCTGATACATAGCATTCCAAATCAGGATTTACCATGGGCAGTAGTGCCATTGGCAGTAGTGCCAATCGTCTTTCTGCATTATTTGATTAATCCTAAATTGCAGGATTTGTCATTCCAAAATCACCTCCAGGGTTGACACCTTCGATTAGGATCAACCATATAATCAAAACCCCACATTTTTTTTCTCTCCTTCTGGTATTAGTAAACAAACTGGTAACAAATGTCTTGTTATTAGCCCCAAAATGCAGTAATTCACACTTTGTACTATACCTGCTATTCTCATTCCTGCTATACCTGAATGATGCTAAAGATTATCCTCGGCACTTCACAATAAAAAAGAAGACATGTTCATTGTCATGAGGAACATGACACAACTTGATGGTATCAAGACTGAGGCTGAGGTAAATCAATAAACTCACAGTATAGCTCAGAAAGACTAATACATGGCATGATGGGATTAATAATTTTTTGTTTAATGACTAAACCAAATAATTTTATTTATTTATGACGAACAGCAGCAAAAATAGTTGAGAAAATGGTGGAAATAATCAGAAAGGGTGTTCAGAATAAGGCAGGGGATAATATTTTATCACTACATGATACCTCGTAGCATCCACATCTTGGGTTCTGGATGCAATTCTGGTCTCTGCATGTCAAGGACCGAGTAGAGTTAGAGAAGGTACAAAGAAGACAGCTAAGATGGTTAAGAGGATGGAATAGTTGCCTTATGAGGAGAAACTATAAAGGCTGAGGCTCTTCAAACAGGAGACAAGAAAGCTGTGGGGGTATGATTAAGCTTTAGGAAACTGTGGAGATGTGAGATAAGCTGAATGCAGAACTGCTTTTTAGCAAATACCTCAGTACTAGAAATATAGGGACCTTGGTGTAGCCAATGGGAGGCTGGTTTAAAACAGATGAAACACAGTACTTTATTTTCTTTGATGGCAGAGAACTGCTGGATTTACTTGCTCCAGAAGTCTGTGGAGATGGTATCAGCAGGTTCAAAACAGATTAAACAAATTTGCAGGAATCAGGTCCAATTAGATCAAGTTACTCAGGACTACATCCAGTCAGATTTTGAACAACTTTGAAGGATGGAGGATCCACAACCTCTCAGGGCAACCTGGTCCAGTGTTTGACCACCCTTGTAGTGGAAGAGGTTTTCCTAATCTTTAAGGGGAATTTAATATATTCCAGCTTGTGTCTGTTGCCTCTGGTCACACCACCTTTTACCTCTGAGAAGATAGTCGCTCCATCTTCACTGTATCCTCCCATCTGGTAGCTGAAGATAGCAGTGAGATGCCGCCTGAGCCTTTTCTCCGGGTAGAACAGAGCCAGGTTTCTCATCCTCTCCTCATACATCTTGTGCTTCAGCCCCAACCATTTTGATGGCCATTCACTGGCTTTGCTGCAGTATGCCCATGTTTTTCCATTGTTTATTGTTTATTGCAATGAAATACGTTAATTTGAAGCCATAGTGTTTTCAACTGATGTCTTCCTTTTCATATTTATCATCTCAATGAGTTTTTAAATCTGGAGAGACGATAATATGATACTTACTTCCAGCACTGAAATATATGACATCTGGTCACTGATAATGCTGATTCTACAATTCAGGTTTTCAACTTGGGAGCACTATAACTCCCCAAATATTCGAAGTGACAATTGCAAAAATATTCTTCTTCCACCTTCTAGAAATAATGTCATAAACATTGTCAAAATTCATTAAGTTTAAAGGGCAGCAAAGTCTAATCTCTGCATAAGGGACAGGATGAAAGCCACATGCTCCAGAATTTTAATGAGAATTCCACAGTTGACTTAAGATGAGTGTTCCAGTGATGGAAAAATTCCAGGTATTATCTTCATCCTCTGTACAGACTTTCCTCTTTTTACCGCTCAGGCAGAAACCCATTGTGTAGCTTGAACAATGAAGCTGCTGATACTTCTGGGATTAAGGCTGTAGTAATGATGGTCTCATCAGTCCCCTGAAGTCAGCAGAGAGAAAGCATTTAAAAGAGCAAAATGTAGTTCCTAAGGTCTATATCTGTATTGTACATACCTAAAAAAATGTAGCAACTTGCAGATTTTCCTCCTCCAAAACCCAGGAAAAAAAAAGTCAGATATCTGCAATGTATTGATTTACTCCACTGCTCCTAGACTGAATTGGGTAATAGCTCACCATTAGCTCACAGTTCATCATCTGGTGGCATCTAATCAATAGATCAAGTAGTAGTTGCAGTTAATCTTATTTCTACGTATCAATGTACAGATCAGCACAGAGTTTTGTTTGTTTCTCTTCATCCTCTTCAAGACTGATCCAAGAATACCCATACTTGATGGCAGGATGGTTCCAAAAACCTGCTGCATACCCTCCTTCCCCTTCTGCAGTTTCCTCATAACCACATCCAGACCTGAGCAACTCACATTACATTCTCAGTTCAAGTTTAATCTTAATCCAAACTCAATCTTCTCTTTCTTCGATCCCTTCTTTCTTTTCACATTTCAGGAATAGCATCAGCTCTTTCTGTACTTGACTGGCTCATTAAGGAATTTCTGTACCTGCTTCTCATCAGGTGCCACCTGGGTTCCTCTGCCCAGCTCTTTTCTGGAGCCCCCTTCCCAGTCCTCTCTCTGATGGTTTCCCACAAACCTCTACTTGAGATCTACAGTTCTTCATCCCGCCTTTCACAAAAACAGCAGGCTTTCTCTTATAAGCATTTCTGTTCTGTACTGCTATTTGGTGTTCCTGACTTTCTCGTTGAGCTACCTGTAGAAGACTTAATCCATCTCATACGGTTCAATAACTGAGTTTGTTTTTCTAATGCTATGTATAAACTAATTGGTGCATGTGGTACAGCAGGGCCCCTGCAGCCCAGTCCCCTGAAGGTTCAGGTCACGGGTAGATCTGACTCATGTATTCTGGCTTTCACTCCAGGGAAGACAGGAGATGTCAGGGGGGAGGAGCTGCTCGGTGTGCGTGCCTGCTCTTTGCCCAAGTCCAAATTTCTGGAGTGCATATTCCAGCCTGAGGAGGCTGGAAGTGCTCCAAGGTGCCCCGGCTTGGACATGGCTTAAAAGACCAGAACACCCAGGAAATTTTTTGTTTTGTTTTTGTTACTTATCTGTATTTGGACCCAAGTCAGACAAAATAGAAGGAAAACACATGGCTGCATTTGCAAGTCACTGCTTTTAGTAACGATACATTTGGATGTATTACACAAAGCAAAGAAATAACGTTCCTAGAAATAACGTTATGGACTCCCATTAAGAATACTGATAAAAATAGAAAAAAAATAAAATGAAAACAAAGACATATATGATCTAATTTTGACATTTACAAATCATGAACTTCAGATTTGTGTTTGACAGATCTGCGTTGATCCAGCAGAAAAAAAGTCTTTCACTGTGGAGCAACTGAGATAAAAAGTATTAGAAGAAAACATGTGAGTCATAGAAAAAGACATTTGGACTCACAAATGAGTAGTGTGGGCAAATTAACTGAGGACATGCAGCACAAGGTTTGAAATGACAGCAGCAAAAAAAGAAAGATGAGATGAGAGGGATGCATGAAAAGAAGGAACTGAACAGCAATGATTGTGCTTGCTTTGGAACAGGCTGCTAGCTAGTGGGAAAAGTAATGGATGCAGCTGGATAAATTACGGAGTTTCAGATTAATTTTGCAGCTGGGATGGTGACATAAACCACTTGTCACCAGGACTCTTTTCCTTGATTTATAACCTGGTCACCCATCCATCTCCAAACATCACTTTCTCTGCAGCGTACACTTCTGAAATTGTGCCGCTCAAACTGGGGAAGTCATTGGAACAATAAAGAAAAATATAGAGTTCTTTCAAGAACTAATAGTTTTGTTATCTTGTGTGAGTCAGCTTGTGTGGGAGTTGAAGAGCTTTGTAGCGCATTTGTTAACTCTGTGCAGCTAGTGAAGTTTAGTGTTTAAATGAATGCCTGTGAAAGTTGTCTCATCCAACTAAATCAATTTATTTCAAGTCTTTGCAACAAATCTATTCTTACAATCTCTTTGGTATTGGGTTAAATTCCTCAGTGTAAAATGAATTGCTTATCAGATTTTTCACATTATGAAAGCAGTACCCACAATGTTTCCAGGCTTGAGTCTATTAATTGGTGGAATTTAAAGATGAATACAGATGGTAAGCCTATTAATAAATGATGGGCAGGAAAGCACACACCGATTCTTAGGAAAATATTATATGTGGAGTGTACTGTGTAGTTGGAGGTAAGACTGATTTTCATCCCCGAGGAATTTTTATATATACTTGCAAATTAGACCTAATATGTGTGTGTAAAAGAAAAGGACAACTCTGCAGCAGGATGAAATTGCTCACTTTTAGCATAAAATAGAACGTCTCATTAAGACAGAATATTAAACAAAAGAGAGAATAAGCACCTTTTTGTTGAAGATAAGGAAAAAGATATTTAATTCAAATACATCATCTCTCTATCCAGTGTAACACACTGTGAAGAGGCAGTCCTGTAACATCCAAACGTGTGCTTACAGAGCTTGGTGCAGATGTGCATGTGCTTTGCGAGGGTTTATGGGCTGTGGCAGAGACAGTGCAATGTTTTATGGGAAAACCACGTGTGCCAGGACCTGGTCGTGACCTCGTCTCTAGCTGTGGGTGTGTGTGGGTGAGTGGGGCTGTCAGAAGCTGAGGGCACTTACAGAAGCCTGCTTTGGAGTAGCGTATGTATGTGTTAGCCCAGGGAAAGTAAAAAGCTGCTGTGTTACTGAGGTGGTGCAGAGAAGATGATGTCACATGCTGAAGTCTGAAGGTTTTTTTGAGGTCTGAGTTACAAAGACAGAAGGATAAGCTCAGATCAGTTCCTTTTCAGTTGATGGGCATGAAGGAGTGTGGAGGTCTTGCAGGACAGTCCTGTAAAAGAGTTTGGGCAGAAGTCTTAACCACCCAACTCTCACCTTCTTCTTTCAGCAAGCTTGCTGTGGGTATGTGCCTCCTGGCTCCTGGCATCTACACCACAGCGTGAAGGGAAGAGTACCTTGTGGATAACCTGGGGTAGGATCCAATCTATATAGCCCTACACACAGTAATGGGGACTCTGAGAGATACGCAGTGACTTCTACTTCTGTGATGCAGACAACAAGAAGGACTTAACTTGTAGCTGTTTAAAAAGAAGCCTTTCCTTCCTGAAAAGTCCTGCAGAAGTTAATCTGGGGTGTGAAATGAATAAGGTCAAAGTGATCGAATAGAAGTTTTATAAAAGTTATTGTAAACGCAACGATATGTAATAGGCCATGATATTACTAGTGAAAAAACCCACAGGATTGGCTAAACTGTCTATAGACTGTGCTCTGTTTAACCGCACCACAGTTATTTTAGTATGAAAAAACTGCAAATGGAAATAAATACTAAACTGTTATGAATAATAAATGGTTGTATCCTAGCCTGTCCCAAGTATCTTTCTAGTATTTCATTTAGCCTGGGAAATTATATCTGCTCCTTTAATTGCAGTCTCTCTTCTGGAACTGCTGTTGTCTGAAATAACTTCAGCAGGCTTTGTCTTAGCCTGATGGTCAAAGATGTTTTTAGCTGAACACAGAGGGAAGTAAACAGCTTAAATGATGACTGGACTTACTTTAATTGGCTGATGGACAAAATGTTATGTTGTGTGTCAGTCTAATTAATTTCTGGAAAACTTACAGAAATTGCTATTTTAATTATCAATCCTTTTACTCAGTAAGCTCCCCGCTAACTTCCCAGACTTACACTGTTGCCCACAGGTGATTAGGATTTAAGATAAAGTGGCCAGGTATGGCTGTTACAACATTATCATTCACATTTCTGTAAGCATTTAGAATATGGTAGGCACCTTACAAGATAAGAACGTGTCCTTGTCCTAAGAGCTGTATTCATGATGACACAGATGTCCAGAAAGCTGGATAACAGGGAACGCACGAGAAATAAGAGAAGGATAATAACACGACAACACGGGTCTGCACCAAGTTACAAATACAGCAGTGCAGCTTTTTTTCACTACCTCTCTCTCCCTAGACTTCTCAAAGCAAAAAAAAAAATGGAATTGAACTTTTGGTGGTGATTTGAGTAAGAGGAAGCTGATGGAAGGTTGAAGGGAGAACACCCTTCATGCTATGAACAGAAAAGTAGGTAAGTTAAAGGTGTGTGTGTACTGCTTTCATCCTGAATGCCAATGTGCAAATTTCACTGTATATTATAAATGTAGAACAAAGTTCTTACAACACTTAAGTTACCAAGCTCCCATTGGCATAACTACAGCTTAAATTTTGCTCATTTTCTTCCCTGGTTTAAAATCTCTTGATCACATCCAAATCACCTTTTTAAGAC